AGAAGAATGCACAGACAGGCGCTAGGCGCTAGCGAGCATCGACCCAAAGACGGCTTTCTGTCACCGGAGACAACCCCTAGCGACCGCTAGATAGGGATTTGAGCCTCTCACAGAAGGCCGGCGGAGGCAAATGAAATTGCCGGCAGTGTTTACCTGAGGGTCGTGTTCGGGCTTCAAAGAGTGCGGGCTTTGGGACGAAGTTCCTTGCTCCAAGTCGTTCTGTGCGGTTCCCTGGTGTGAGTACCGCCATGGTCGTTGTAGAACCAAGCTCTTCTCGAATTGTAGTAGTGCCCAGTTGACATCGATGTTGTTGCAGGTATGGTTGGCAATCCTGCGAATTCCAATGGCCAGTGTTCGACAGACAATATATCACTGATCGCAGTTCCAACCCTAGCGATAGCTCTTTATGAACTTCTCAAACTACACTATCGCTTCTTCAGGGCTGTCACCTGGTGCTCTCGCCTGCTTGTCGGCTGTGTCCATACTACCATGCTAGAAGTTGGTGACGATGCTTTTCTTGAAAGCTGGATGGGAGCTTCCGGAACCAGGGGGCTCTTTTCCTTGTTAGACGGACCAGTCAATTCGGCGCCCCGCAGCGTCCACAATTCTGTGGATGTATACAAATATGCATACGCTAGAGTAGAAGCATGTGTCTATTTCACTATCTGTCTCTGCCTATCTATTTGCCTGTCGTGTATCTATTTCTCTATCTGCGTAGGGTGCGAGGGTTTGCACACAGGGACGACTGCATCAGGAAACCACTCAGTCTCTGGCGATGAGGAAGACTACGTCGATCCTGGGTCGAGCTCGTAACAAGGCGAAGGAGGCTTAGGGCATCTCAGGAACCAAACGGCCAGCTAAGTGTAGTAGTGGTGGACTCAGTTGGCTCAACATGTAGGAGCAGAGATCATACAGCCACATTCGTTTGCATAATGCCAATTGTAACGTCCCCGAAACCCTTGAGGAAGGAAAGCATGACAAAATCTAAAACCTCACGCAAGTTTCTGGGATGCCTTCAAGGCGTGAGAAATGTGAACGCAGAGCAGTACAACCTTGACCATTAGCTGCAGCACCTACAGTTCGACTTGACCACCCCTTACGAAAGTGTTCGACAGATCTTTGCTTTCTAGTGTTCGTCGGGCTTGTTTTCCACTTTCGTACTCCGGTCTTCCTGCCTGTGGCAACCGCGGCCACAGTAATTGTCTACCAGTAGACAACGAGAAACGCCGCTACACTAGATCAACAAAGACGAGGAAGCAAGCGAGCAATGGAACAACATGTAACCAAAGAACAAAAGCAGGACAAACAACAGCACGAACACCAATGACGACTAACTATAGCATATACCACCACCACCAGACATCAGACCCACCAACCGCGAAAAGCAACCCAAGTGGCCCTCAAGAGAAACTAGAATCTTAAGCTGATTTAAACACTGACTCCCAGCGCAAGACCGTCTAAGGCATCACTCACTTGCGGGTTCGAGAGGCCAAAGAGGCCCTACCCACATCACATGTCGGGTTCAGGGGTTTTCCCCTCCTGTAAGGGTTATTCAGGGTTTACGCTGTTTACGCTCTCACTTCAGGGTCCAGAGTTCAGGGTTCAGGATAGTGTTCAAAGATAGAACTGAAGTCAGTCGACAAACGCCTTGCATCAACCCCGAATGCTGACGGCATGCGAGCCGTTCAAAGCCGGGTCTCCGAAAGGCTTTCTTTTTGTCCGGAGAGGACGTGCGCTTGGTCGAGATCGCCGAAAGCATCAAAGACCTTAAAACAGCGTTAGCATGCCTCGGGAGGAACATGATCATTCAGATTGGTGCAAACGCTAGTCGAGCCCAGGATTTTCAAGATAAGCTGATAGGAGCACCAGTACTCGCACTACCGTAGCAGTAGTAGTAGTAGTAGTAGTAGTAGTAGTAGTAGTAGTATTAGTAGTAGTAGTGGTAGTAGCAGTAGTACTAGTAGCAGTGGTAGTCGTCGTAGTAGTAGTCGTAGTAGTAGTCGTAGTAGTAGTAGTAGTAGTAGTAGTAGTAGTAGTGGAAGTAGTAGTGGTAGCAGCAGCAGCAGCCGTAGCAGTAGTAGCAGTTGTAGTAGTAATAGTAGTAGTAGTAGTAGCAGCAGTAGCAGCAGTAGTTGTAGTTGTAGTTGTAGTTTTCCCAATAATAGTAACAGCTGCGCAGCGGCGGCAGGAGTAGTAGTAGTAGTAGTAGTAGTAGTAGTAGTAGTATCAGTAGTAGTAGTAGTAGTAGTAGTAGTAGCAGCAGAAGTAGTAGTAGGTGGTAGTAGTAGTAGTAGTAGTAGTAGTAGTAGTAGGAGTATTCGTATTCGTAGTAGTAGTAGTAGTAGTAGTAGTAGGAGTAGTAGTAGTAGTAGTAGTAGTAGTAGTAGTGGTGGTGGTAGTGGTAGTGGTGGTTGTAGTAATAGCAGCCGTCGTCGCGGTGGTAGTAGTCGTAGTAGTGGTGGTAGTGGTACAAGCACTGGCACTACGACTAAGAGCAACAGTAATTGTAGTAGTCTTCTTCGCCAGTAGAAAACGGCAGACAAGTCTCAGCTGTGATTAGAGCTGCACATCATGATGCTGATGCTGATGCTGTTGGTGTTGCTGATAATGATAATGGCCATGTCGGGGGTGCAGCAAAGCCGACGAGATTGAGATACGTGCCCGTCATAAATCAGAAACTGATGGTCACATCGGCAGAAGGAGGCTCGCAACCACCAAGCTGAATGAGGCGGCGACGCCCAGGCCATCCACAGCAGGTTGATGAAGAGCAGCTGCTGACAGCCTAACCTGGAAAGGCTGTGAGGCGTCTTGATATCCGTGTCGAGAGCACTTCAACCCTAGGCCAGACAATTTTAAACTGACAGGTGACCCAAGAGCTTGACACCCGCAGCTCGAAATCAAGCCAGACCCACAACCCGCAACCTATACACGCATAGGCGAAAACTTCAAGACACCCGCCCAAGACCTCGTCTTCAGAAGTAGCCCTCAAGCCCCTGAGAATCTTGCAATTGGAATTTGGGCTTCAGGTCTGACCGGGTTGAACGTCTTGGTGAGTTCCGATTTCCAGAAAAAGAAGGCCAAAAACATCTGAAGCTGTTGAGCTCTTCATACATGTGTATATATATATATATATCTGTGTATATGCATATTACAATGCTTATACTATTTGTTACATACTTTATACCGTTATAAATTTGATATTATATATATATATATATGTATACTTATGTATTACATATGCATAACTCTATGTAGTATTGTATCATATCATATTCTGGTACATTGTAATCTCTCTTCGTGGTGTGTGTAATTGTTCACACAACTCAGCTGGGGGCTTTCATCGCAATGGACGACTGTGTAGCATGTGAAACTTGGGATGCATCGAACTAATTAGTCATGCGAGCGCCGGAAAGTCCACTGCCTGTCTTTTCTCTGGATACTTTACGGTTTGGGGTTTCCTTGTTCAAGTCTGAAGTTTCTGTATCATGTGGTGGGCTGTGGCTGAAAGTAAATACTTGTAGCAATTGTTTGTAGCTAACCTGTTTCATGTCCAGGGTAGGGTCTCCCAACGATGAGACGGGTAACCAGTAAAGAAACATCATTTGAGGGTCAAGCTAAGAGTCAAGATAGGCAAAGTCGTCAGGCACACACGTGCAGTCACTGAGGAAAGTGAATTAACGGACGAGCCGGCAATAGTTGAATGCACTATCCACCAGCAGTAGTCGGCCCCAGCAACAGATCATGCCGCGGCTGATAGCTTGACAGTGCTGCTTGATGGAACCCTCATCCGTCTGTCTGACATGTGGGTAACCAATATACACAACAAACATGTACGAGTCTAAAGCCTGCACACACAAGCAAAGTCAGGTGTGTACACGCGCAGGTATCTGTCTGTGTTGCTGTCTCTGTCTGCGTGTGTGTGTGTGTGTGTCTGCCAATGTTTGTCTGTTGGTGATCACGTACGTACATCTCTCGCTCTCGCTAAACAGTAAATGCACATGCATACATGCCTACACGTGTACATGCATGCATGCATACAAACAGGAACATACACCTACACACACACACAATGATGTAGACTACATACATACATCCATGAAAGTAAGCAAGCAAGCAAGCCAGCAAGCAAGCCAGCAAGCAAGCCAGCAAGCAAGCCATTGGAATCGGAAAGCCGGTAACTGGACTTACGTACAGTTACGTACATACATACATCCATCTCTCCATCAATGCATGCATGCATGCATATCTGAAACACAAACAAGCAAACAAACAAATAAACAAACAAAACAAACCAACAAACCAACAAACAAAAAATCAAACAAACTCACACAGCACACACGCACACACACACACACATCAACAAATGTGCATACCATACCATGCCATCTCAAACCATAACCAGAGCCATAATCATGCCATGCATACATACATGCATTGCGTTAATACATACACTATACACACGCACATACCTTACATGTAGGCGGGTAGGCAGGCAGGCAAGCAGGCCGACAAACAACCCCACAAGCATACATACATTCCATGTCTGGACATATATGCATGCATACATGCATGCATGCATGCATGCAGGCATCGTGCTTGCGCTCTTTCTTGCTTGGGTGGTTGCATACGTAGTTACATATGTACGTAGATGTATACACGTCTTTGGAGGTACACACACACACGGCAAGCGCAAGGCTGGAGCTAACCGACTATCATAAACTGGTCGGCGAATACTGCCAGTGTAGATTCGAATTTGGTCAAGCTGATTCTCAGCAAGTTCCAAAAATCGAATGGCATCGCCACGGCTGCCATTCAAAAGCCGGGTCTTCGTTCCATCGGGTCGGGGTTCAAGTTGATTCGGGTCAGAACTCAGAGCTCCGAACCTAAAATCCTAAACCCCTAAACCCCCTTGAAGAGCCACCTCACCGGAAAAAGGCCAAACAGGCCTCCCGGCACTTGGACTCACGGATCTAAGAGGACCTGGCTTTGACAAAGTGTGCTCACATCAGGAACGGAGTGCGCTTGGATGAAGTGCGCCTGGATGAAGGCAGGCAGTGGAAAAGCGGGTCGGCTTAGATGGTGTGGGTGCTGCCCAAATACCCACCCTCCGATTCCTTAGGGTTTAGGGGGTTAGGGGTTTAGGGTTTAGGGTTTAGGGTCTTACACCTTCCCTCGGTGCTCTGACTGGGCAAAATTTCTTCAGGAGATGCCTCACATCACCTTTTAAACTTGAAATCGCCAGGCTGCTCCGGAAAGGAAACGTTGGCGAGGATCAGGTACAGAAAAAGGCCAACCACCTAGGCTGCTGTTCAGGAACGCAATTTAAGTTACATCATCTGACTTACTACAAAGGACAAGCCCCCCTACACCTTAAAGCCCAAGAAAGATGGAACCAGACATTCAGACCCAAAATCCTCCTAAACCCTACACCCTAAACCCCAAGAAAGATGGAAACAAACATCAAGCTCCCAAATCAAAGCAGAGCATAATTCTCTAAACCCCAAACTCCAAGACCCGACCAAGCCCTAAATCTAGGACATTTTCAGGTGGGTAGTTATCGTTATAGGAGCCTTATACAAGGTCTTTATACCTTATGGAAGCCCTATATACCCTAAACTTCCCACCTGAAAATGTCCTAGACTAAACCGTGTTCCAAAATCAATGGCCAACGACGGGAACTGACATGGCATTGCCTGCCAGCAGGGCGAGATGCCGATCTTCCAAGCCTCGGTTGTTTTAGGGCTTATGGGTTGGTAAACCCCTTTTTACATCAGGCTTGCGTGTCGCACCTGGCTATGTTGAAGGCCCTGACAAAGCGCAACTGCTGGCGACCCCTTACCAAACTAAACCCTAAACCCTTCAGTTTTGCCTAGGCCTTAGGATTGAGTTTGTTAGGGGTTCGGAGAGCCAAGAGGGTCAAGTGTTTTGGGGTGTACAGTGGCTTGGGGTTTAAGAGCGAAAGGGCTTCGGGATTGATAGATTGGGGCTTGGGATATATTATGGATATAGATTAAGAGCTTGGGGTCTGTCGAGCCCTTCAGGGCTTCAGGAGCTGGAGCATTGAAGGCCCTCGGGGTTCCCAGACGTGTAAAACGGTTTAGGGTTTAGGGTTTAGGGTTTAGTGCCCAAACATGAAAGCAGAAGCCATCGAGGTTGAGCTCATCAGCAGGGAAGCCTTGCAAGGCCATCATCTCCTTAGATCGTCGTCTGCGCATCTACACCACCGGGGCTTTCGGGTGTTGAGGGCGGGGTATATATCAGAGTCGACGTGCCACAGGGGCTAATTTTCT